TCTAATTGCCGGCGCTGAGAGTTACCGGCGCTGGGTCGACCTGGGGGTCAAATAGGGGGTTTGTGAACCCCCTGCACAACCTGGGGGTCAAATAGGGGATTTGTGAACCCCTTGCAGCCCTCTGATAGTGGGGAGGGGATGTGATACAGTCTGGTGTGTCTGCTACGCTAAACGTTATATATTTAATAATTATTCATTTTAATTCACGCCATTGAGACAACGTCAAAATCAAGAATTGAGTAACGCATGCGTAGCAGTCCAAGTTCGTTAAAATTCGTCTCTATTGATCACGATGTATAGACAACATCTTAAGAAAAGATAGGTCAACTATTATTCATGTTATTCTTACCCGAAGGCCAGAAAAATAGTAGAAGCGTTAATTCAGTATCGGTGAAGCGTCAATGGCTCAGTGATTACACTTCGTTGAAGCTGAAACTGCTTTTAAAACCAGAACATATATAATCTTTGGAATTTATTCCTACTATGAAAGATCGGCTGCATTTCTGAACAGGTTTTGCACGAAACATGCCTCAAACGAAGGGATTGTAAAAAATATGCAATAGGCTAATGATGTATAATTGAAACATTAATCGCTGCATAAGAATGTGATTGATGTTTAGTTCAGACTTTAAGGGAATTTCTTATGCAGTGAATAATGTTTCAATTATACATCATTAGCCTATTGCATATTTTTTATAATCCCTTCGTTTGAGGCTACTTTTATGCAAAATCTGTTTATAAATGCCGCAGACATCGCTGATGAACGCTTGGTGGCCGAGGTGAGTGACAGACAACAGACAATGTCTGTTGAACAACAATGTTCAACATAATTGTCTGTTGAACAACAATTCAACATAACATTTCGCATAATTGTTCAACATAATTGTCTGTTGAACAACAATTCAACATAACATTTCACATAATTGTTCAACATAATTGTCTGTTGAACAACAATTCAACACAACATGTCGCATAATTGTTCAACAGACAATGTCTGTTGAACACTTGGTGGCCGAGGTTATACGCAGGCCTGCTGATAGGCCTGGGGCGGCTGCCTGCAATTGTAAGGATAGAGGTCACGTCACACAGGCTGGGAAGGTCGCTGGGATGAAGTGCACGAGTCGAGAGACAGGACGACTGCGAATGTAGCATGCAAACCCAACAAAATATAACTCAGTACTCACTGCAGTGGGTGACAGAGAGCGCATTTTCTCGTCGACGAAAACGTGAAGTCACGGACGGACAGACATACAGACAGACAGACGGACGAACATGACGAGCACAATAGCGCCTTTTTTCCATAAATGAGAAAATGCGCTAAAACTTCACCAATAAAGCCCTATATTATGGCTTAATATCTGAATAAAGATCAGTTCTTATAGTATCAGTATAATTTGATAATGTATACTGCCTATATCACAAGATAATCAAGGTATAAAAAATGGAAGGAGTGGTACGATTTATATTTTGAAGCATTCTTCAGGGTCTCATGGGGAAGTATGGGGCATCAAAACTCTGCCAAATCATTCCAGATTAAACTTAGCTTCTGGTTAACAGCCAGCTTGATAAATTTTTTACTAGCGTTTTCTGGAGAAAAGTTTGCAGCTTCTCTTGAAGAAAGCCGAAAATTACAATAATAAAATTATTTAGTGAATTTAGTATCTTAAATTTATTCCAACACCATAATTCATTCATTTTTAGCATTATCTTTCTCATATAGGTATAATTTAAAGATTTCAACCCAAATGTCAAATGTCGTGATCATCGTTTCAACACGACCAAGGCTTCATTAAAATAGAAAATACAAGTAAGTGCACAGTTGCACTGTCATCCATTCAAAAAGTCAAAAAATAATCACTGTTCTTTCAATGGTAGAGTTCAGTTTGTCAACATGACATTTCATTTTGACTTATGCTGAAATTAGATAAACATTATCAACTATATTAGGTAAATATAACCACGACAGTGTGGTGTGGACTGCCACTATACCCACGACAGTGTGGTGTGTGCTGCCACTATACCCACGACAGTGTGGTGTGTGCTGCCACTATACTCACGACAGTGTGATATTGCATGTATGTAAAGCTCGTATTTTTATCATCTTGCGTGCAATTTTACTTGGAGTTCATTCATTACTTTGAAGTTGTTCTTCGTCATTTCAGTTTAGACTATAATATGCGAAAACCTTAGTTTTTCAACACGCGATGCGTTTCAACATGCGATGCGTTTCAACATGCGATGCGTTTCAACATGCGATGCGTTTCAACATGCGATGCGTTTCAACAGACGATGAGTTTCAACAGACGATGCGTTTCAACAGACGATGAGTTTCAACAGACGATGAGTTTCAACAGACGATGCGTTTCCACATGCGATGCATTTCAACATGCGATGCGTTTCAACATGCGATGCGTTTCAACAGACGATACGTTTCAACAGACGATGCGTTTCAACATGCGATGCGTTTCAACATGCGATGCGTTTCAACATGCGATGCGTTTCAACATGCAATGCGTTAAAACATGCTATGCGTTTCAACATGCAATGCGTTAAAACATGCTATGCGTTTCAACATGCGACGCGGATCAACAGACGATGCGTTTCAACATGAGATGAGTTTCAACAGTACATTACTGGGATTCGTATGAGGTAGTCTTGCAATGAAAGCAAATATCACAACAAATTAAATATTGTTATAAACCAGCGAAAAATTCCCTCAGGAAATCGCTGCACACAAGTGAGAATTCGATATTAAAACCCGTAGATTATTTTGTCAGGTTACTAACTTACTATATGCGTATACCTATACTCTCTCAGTCCCCCGTTTATTCAACGAACATTGGTTTATTTTATTTGAGATTCAGTACATTTGTTTACGTACTTCCAATTTACCCGGAATGAAAGATTTGTTACAATATGGAAAAAGAGGAATAGTTCAACAGACATTAACCATTTAGTCCACGGATATAAAATAACCGACTTTAGTGATATTCCCATCTGAAGTTAAAATATCTAGATTTTCAGTCGACAGCTAGATAGTTTGAAAATGTAGAATTTTAAACGAAAATACGTAAAATTAGCAGCGTTGAGTTGGAATGAATCAGAGGTTTAAATTAATCCATATCAGGAATATTTGTATCCATATCAGGTGATATCTGGCTTTATCATGCAAATTACGAGAAACGGTGAAGAACCTGCTTCATTTAGCAATATGCCTAGCATGTAAATAATGTCATCTTAATTCATAAATAATCAGTTAACAAAACGAAATTGCAAGTGCACGCACACCAGCACGTCACAACACGACGTATCGTCGTGACTATAGAATACAATAATGATCATATCACTCTACAATAATAATTGCAAATACAACAATTATATACTTAATTTGAGTTCACTCAGTCAAGTCGCGCAAAATTCCATCTGCCCGAATACATCTGCCGTAAGTCCATCATATATCATCATGGTATAAAATTTATAAAGTTGGTCTCAACTGGTATAAAGTTTGACCACAGTGTTCAAAAGTATTGAAAATTAAAAACATGGCTCCAATAACATGCGATGTGTTTACAAATTATTTTAATAAAACAACAGAAGATGTTGTTGTAATAATTTTTAGTTTTAATAATTAGTTCAAATTTCAAGTTTAAATAATTTTAATTTCAATTTTTTAATAAAACGTGAACGAATTTCATTTTCCAATAGACGTGCGAGCATGATTGTTCGACCTGTGACTTCACGCACGCTCGCCCTTACACTCCACAATTACCCAAGTTAGCCATTAAATGCTGTATCTCCGTCATTGCTCACGAGTTTCTCTCAGTCTCATTTCGTCTTTATTTATCGAAGTGATCAGAGAACGACCAGCAATGGTCAGGTTGGCGGGCTTGTCTCCTGCAAGGATCAGTTTTATGCGCCTTTGTCCGGGCACGCGCATGCGCACTGCGCGCCCACGCTTCGTAGCCACGCATGGCCAGGGTGATCGTGCATACACGATCTAACCATTGTAACGATACGATCGTTTTTCATCGTTACGATCAATCGAATTTTTTTTATCTAACCATAGTAACGACACGATCGTTTTTCATCATTATGATCAATCGATTTTTTTTATCTAACCATTGTAACGACACGATCGTTTATCATCGTTATGATCAATATTGAATTTTAGATCTAACCATTGTAACGACACGATCGTTTATCATCGTTAAGATCAATTGAATTTTTAGATCTACCCATATAGTAACGACACGATCGTTTATCATCGGTACGATCAATTGAATTTTTAGATCTAACCATTGTAACGACACGATCGTTTATCATCGTTACGATCAATTGAATTTTTAGATCTACCCCTTGTAACGACACGATCGTTTTTCATCGTTACGATCAATCGAATTTTTACGGCAACATCTCATAACTTCGTCATAAACTACATCACGACGTCATCGAGTCCATACGTGTGATGGTGGTGACATCACGCGTGGATGATATGGACGACATTACAAGGAAGTCAATTAAGGTTTCGTTCTGAACCGTCAATGAACGCCTAATTAAAACCCAACCAAATACACAATTATAAAGAGCATCGAATAAAGCCCTTAACGCTTAATTGTGTTATTTTATTAGAGTCTCCATCAAATATCTGTTTGGTTTCTGTTTATTATAAACTTTTAATTTTTGCATTCAAATGCTTAAGTGACAGGGCGCTGCTTCACTTTCACGGTGCTTGCAAATTAGAATGAAATAAATACATTTTATGAGGGGCAAAACTTTTAATTTCATTCTTAAACTCCTCAGTAAATATTTTTTCTGTTACTGTATGAGTGAATGAAAGTAGATGAACTAATTGAAAGAGCAAATTGTATGAATTTATCCAGGAAACTTTACACTATTCTATAGTCATTTAATTAATTCCACACAAGTAAATTGATGTGAAACGATGTGGCATGATCACCTTATAGATATAGATTCAACAAAAAAGTTAATATATTCAATTATCACCGACCGTCCTCTGTCCGCCCCGCCGTCCTCCGTCGTCCTCTGACCGCCCCGCCGTCCTCCGTCGTCCTCTGTCCGCCCCGCCGTCCTCCGTCGTTCTCTGTCCGCCCAGCCGTCCTCCGTCGCAGTCTGTCCGCCCCGCCGTCCTCCGTCGTCCTCTGTCCGCCCCGCCGTCCTCCATCGTTCTCTGTCCGCCCAGCCGTCCTCCGTCGCAGTCTGTCCGCCCCGCCGTCCTCCGTCGTCCTCTGTCCGCCCCGCCGTCCTCCATCGTTCTCTGTCCGCCCAGCCGTCCTCCGTCGCAGTCTGTCCGCCCCGCCGTCCTCCGTCGTCCTCTGTCCGCCCCGCCGTCCTCCATCGTTCTCTGTCCGCCCAGCCGTCCTCCGTCGCAGTCTGTCCGCCCCGCCGTCCTCCGTCGTCCTCTGTCCGCCCCGCCGTCCTCCATCGTTCTCTGTCCGCCCAGCCGTCCTCCGTCGCAGTCTGTCCGCCCCGCCGTCCTCCGTCGTCCTCTGTCCGCCCCGCCGTCCTCCATCGTTCTCTGTCCGCCCAGCCGTCCTCCGTCGCAGTCTGTCCGCCCCGCCGTCCTCCGTCGTCCTCTGTCCGCCCCGCCGTCCTCCATCGTTCTCTGTCCGCCCAGCCGTCCTCCGTCGCAGTCTGTCCGCCCCGCCGTCCTCCGTCGTCCTCTGTCCGCCCCGCCGTCCTCCGTCGCTCTCTGTCCGCCCTGCCTTCCTCCGTCGTCCTCTGTCCGCCCCGCCGTCCTCCGTCGCTCTCTGTCCGCCCCACCGTCCACCGACCGTCCTCTGTCCGTCCCGCCGTCCTCCGTCGTCCTCTGTCCGTCCCGCCGTCCTCCGTCGCTCTCTGTCCGCCCCGCCGTCCTCCGTCGTCCTCTGTCCGCCCCGCCGTCCTCCGTCGCTCTCTGTCCGCCCCGCCGTCCTCTGTCGTCCTCTGTCCGCCCCGCCGTTCTCGTCGTCCTCTGTCCGCCCCGCCGTCCTCCGTCGTCTCTGTCCGCCCCGCCGTCTACCGTCGTCCATCCAGGCTTCCGTCCATTGTTCGTCATAGACAGACGCCCGTCAGTTCATTGTGTGGCATTCCTGTGGGGATTGTTTGCTGCTTAGATGTGTATATTCAGCAGAACTTTAATGAAACTCAGTATGACAAAAACTCAACGTAAGTTCAAGGTTTGGCTTCGTACACCATTTTTAACGTTGATATGTTAAACTGACATGTTTCCGATACATCAAATAAATAAAATAGTGGATTGGTCAATAATTGTAACATTTTCGACATAAACTCCTTATTTCGATGCGCATTCAGCTTTCCTGATTCAAAAATTGTTTCGGATGAAATTTTTTCTGATTTGTAGAATTAAATAATCTTACTCAACTGCGGCAACTGTTATGTTGATTTATGAATTACATTGAATTTTTTTCAAATGAAATTATCATATCCCCAGGAAAATTCCTGCGCCATAAACCGCCAGGCGTCGCCAGAGGAGATGGCCTGGACCCTCCTGAGGTGCTCCTCCTGAGGCGTCCCTCCTGAGGCGCCCCTCCTGAGGTGCCAGTCATGCCAAATCTGGGCAGAGTTTGCCATCATTTGAGGGTCTGGCAAGGCCAGCCATCATCCTCCGCTTGACCATAAAATTTCACCTATAACATTTCAGAGCAAAGTCTCACCCCGTTCCATGAGACTAATCTCATTGCCTCAATTCTGTCATGAGACTCGGCTCATTCTCATAATATAATCGATGAGACACGACACCTAGCCTCACTTCACTTAACGAGACCGGCTGTCTCCTGACCTATGCGAGACGTGTTCCTGCTTCATTCGTCGCTGCAAGACTCGTCTCATGCATCATCCTGCACTGCAAGACTCGTCTCGTGCCTCATCCTGCACTGCAAGACTCGTCTCATGCAGCATCCTGCACTGGAAGACTCGTCTCATACAGCATCCTGCACTGCAAGACTCGTCTCATGCTTCACTCTGCACTGCAAGACTCGTCTCATGCATCACCCTGCACTGCAAACATCCTGCAGTGCAAGAATCCATGTTTCAATGATCTCTGCAACGTTTGATTGTCAGCTGCCCCACCCGCATCTCCGAACCGAGATACCGAGATCGTTGCATACGGTAAACAAAGAGACCCGGCGCCACGTCCCGTGTCTGTCCCATACACTCGTCTCTGTCCCATACTGTCGTGACTCGTGACTGTCCCATACACTCGTCTCTGTCCCATACCCGTCAGGCAAACGCATCTACTCGAACGCCGTTTACCAGTACGTCTATCATGGTTAACCTCGTCCATCCAGACGCGCCGGTGACATAAACGCGCCGAGTCTGTGCAGACGAGGCCCTCATTCCCACTGAGCAACTGACGTTGGAAAAAAGGTCGTTCCAACGAAATGAACTCTTAATCGACGTTGTTTCAACGTCATTCGCCCGAAGGAAATAGTCTGCACATTCGGCTTGATGAGCAGCCGTGGCTGCGCTGGCGTGCCCTTCCGTGAGTGCAGAGCTTTGCATCCCCTCAGGGCATCGCCGCGCCGTGGGGAAGGAGGCAAGAAGGGGAGGGAAATGAAGGGGAAACACATTAACTTGCCGTACAAAAACGCACAAGACGGGCAAAGGTGAGACCAAATCACGGAAGTGGCCAAAACAAGTCCGGGTCTTGCGGTGGCACGTCGCTGGATCACACGGAGCCCGTTGCTATATTAACGGCACGGCGTACGTTTTATGACAAGGCTCGGGCACTGCCCTCGGTATGTTTGTTATTATCGAACGGAAAATTTTAATGGCAAAGTTTCGCAATATTAACGTTTGGGAATTTGTCTCATTACAGAACGCGGAGAAAAAAATTTGAAATTAGAAATATGGTTTGGAGAACCATTATTCGTTGAACCTGAATAGTTAATTCGTTTAGAAAATCATATAAAATATAGTACTTTAGTTCAACCAATTATTTGTAGGTATGAATGTAAACGTGGAAAACAACGCAAAGACGCCTACAAAGGCGACATAGCTGGGCTATCGCGGGCCAATCGCGAGTCCACCGAAATTATCGCCAAAAATCCAACAATCTCGTGTGCTAGTGCTCCGATCACCGTAAAAATTGCCGAAATTATCAATAGTAATTTGACGATTACATATTCTATTACTACGGCAATCACAGTAAGAATCGCCCCAATTATCGCTCATAGCCCGCAGCAGTCGTGGAGGTCAATCACGTTACGATGGACGACGCGAGCAACGGCGACGTGCTGGCCGCTGAAGTGGTCACCGGCCACCACCAGCGGCCGCGGTCGGCGGATGACGCGACCCCGGGTGAGTGAAGCGGGGGTATGTGGGGGTGGGGGGTGGGTTCGGGGTGTGACCCCCAGCACCACGTGAGAAACTGCCTATTGTGTCCTCAAGTAGCTGAGCCTCGCTGGTGAGGCTCACGATATGGAGGACGACACTATCTAGGAGGACACTTTACTAGGCAGACACTACTAACACTAGGTATAGGCGGACACTATAATAGGAGAACATATTGGGGGACATTATATAGGGAGACACTATCTAGGAGGACAATATCTAGGAAGACATTATCCAGGCAGACACTATCTAGGAAGGCACTATGCAGGTAGACACCGTCCAGGCTGATACTATTTAAAAAGACACAATCAAGGGAGACAATATCTAGGGAGACATTTTTAGGCAGAATATTTTGTTCACGGAGCGGGTGGACGCTCGTGCAAAGCTTTCAAATTACAGAAAATATGTACCACGTTCAGAGCAGAACCCTACTAAAAAAATATCATTTCTGTGCTTTCCTTCCACGAAATACATTGTCTCATTTCTGTATATAACATTTACAGGATAATACATATTGCAGGATATAAGTACGTGTGTCGGGCTTGTAGCGTACATTCCTTTCTATAGAAGATATTTTCAAGGATAAATGATACAATTGGTTATTATTTTCCGTATACAATTATTTCCGTATGTATTATAGTTGGGATCCACATGAATTACTTCATTGAGAGAAGTGACGTAAAATAAGCACATAAACAGACATAAAAAGCAGAACAAATTACAGGAAATAAATGTGGATGACAAAGGATGATTTTGCGTTTTGAAATGAAATTGAACAAGCAGTGAGGCATGTAATGCCAAGTAATAATGTGCCATAAAATTACACTTACATACGACTCGACACACCAGACTACACAAAACGTACGATGGATGACGAATTTTATAGCGCTTACAAACCCCACGTTACTTTAGCATTTTTCACGCATCAAGTTTAAATTACACTCGCAGACTGAGCGCAAGAAACCCTTCCAAGAAACGCAGCTTGATAACAGGCGGGTGTTAGATGGCCATCGTTGTACCGCCTTTGATTCACTTATGATATTTAATTGGGAGCTGTGGGAATAGAACTGCGACATCTCATGCAAACCTCAATCCTTCAATACGCACGGCGATAATTAAATGTCCAGGTAATAATAATCAAATGTCCGCGGAATGTATAATTAAATGGCCAACTTTTGTGGAACTGAGGAAGCGTCTGCGGTTGCTGATAAGCACGGAGCTCTGTGATTGCCTGTCGCAAGTACATAGTCTGTAGACGAGGCATTGGTAACAAGAAATAAACTATCAATCGTACACGCATATAAAAATATAAGAATATCAAGAGTAGCGTACTGATTTAATCATAGATTAGAAATAAAATTTCACGTCTGTTTACATTGCCCTAGAAATAATGAAAACTGTGTATGCTATGAACGAGAAATAAACTACCACTCTTACACGCATATAAAAATATAAGAATATAAGAATGTCAAGAGTAACGCACTGATTTAATCATAGTTAACGTGGTATGGGCAACAAGAAATAAACTACCATTCTTACACGCATATAAAAATGTAAAAGTATCAAGAGTAGCGTACTGATTTAATCATAGCTAACTTGGCATTGTTAACAAGAAATAAACTACCGCTCTTACACGCATATAAAAATTATATGAATGTCAAGAGTAACGCAATGATTTCATTATAGTTATAAATAAATTTTCATGTCGGTTAATATTGCCCTAGAAACAATTAAAATTGTGCATGCCACGAGAGAAATTTCTCGGAAATGGGAAATTTCTAAAAATTACGGGTTGAAGGATTGCGCTCTCTACTTTTCAATATTTTCTACATTTTAAATAGAAAAAGAATTGTGAAAATAATACCATGTAAATATGATATATGGTTAATATACGGTATACACGGTGAATACGATCAATAATTTTATATACAGTGGGGGGAAATAAATATTCGTACACTTGAAAAATCGTATTTTAATGTACGGTAAGTACACAAACTTAACAGGAAAAGTGATTTAAATTATGTATAGAGACGCATAGTATTCAAAAATACTATCAAAAGAAATTAAATCTCAATGCAACAAAAAACAATGCAACATGTTCACTTTTGAGGGTGAAAAAAGTATTCGTACAAAATAATAAATCCGCATTATTTTAATTTAATACTTGGTTGAATACCCTTTGTTCAGCTCAACAGATACCAGTCTATTTCTATACGTCTCGACCAATGATTTGCAGATGCTGACTGGTATTTTATACCATTCTTCTTGGCACACCACCTTAAGATTCTCAATGTTTGTTGGGGACCTTTTCTTAATTTGAATCTTCAAATACCGCCACAAATTTTCAATCGGATTTAAGTCCGGCGACTGGCTTGGCCATTCCATAACGTGTACATTTCTATCAGCGAACCATTTCTTTGTGGATCTTGCAGTATGCTTAGGATCGTTATCCTGCTGGAAAATCCAATCACCAGGTAGCTCTAGTTTCTCAACAGAAGTCGTCAAATTATTTTCCAGGATGCTCTGGTAGTTTGCAGCATTCATCCTACCATCTATAAGTGATATGTTACCAACACCTTTTGCGGAGAAACAGCCCCAGATCATGATGTTGCCACCACCAAACTTTACAGTAGGCACAGTGTTCTTTGGAAGGTAGGCTTCACCGTCTTTCCTCCAC